ATTTTTTAATCAAAACAGTCCCATTTGGAAACCTTTTGGTAATCCAAATTATGGTTTGAACCTTCCAAATATGTTTCGAGTCTTTTATTTGGACCCATTTGGGTTTGTATTTCCGAGACATTTAGTTCAACTGTAAGTTTATTGAAATCGGAATTCAAATGATCCCGTATTTAATTTTAAAAGCTTCCAACTTGATTTTGCTTTGAGATTCATGCCCGTTCAAGATAAATTTTTGATGATGTGTCACGACTAAATTTTTTGTATTTGAACCACTTCTATATATGTTTGAGCATGTTTTATGTACATGTGATAGTCTACATGTATTATGAAGCAAGTCCTAGGTGGCGTCTATGTGTATTTTCCAAAAATGTAGAATGTTCCCTCTTGGGCCATGCGACTCGGATTGGCGCCACTGTAATGCTGAGCTCTCTAGAATTTGAAAATTAATTTAACATGACGGTGCTGAGGGCAGCTTTACAGCACTGTGGTTTCTATTATAATATCTTAAGCAAGAATTCCCTTATATATAAGACTCTTTTACATGAATTACAAGACCTGTCTGAATATTGCAAGATAATTTTTTTTTTATTCTAAATGTCACGATCCGGCCCGGTTAGCTCGCAAGTGCGAGGCGAGAACAGAGGTCGGACAGGAAAAGAGACAAGTTACCATAGCATAACATTAAATCATCCAACATAAATTAACATCTTTAATATAAAAATGAAAGAGCCACTAAAGCAAATCCAAATAATTTTCATTTCTCATTCATCTTCAAAAGAATCATATACATAGAGAGTTTTTCTATAAGAGAGGATCCAAAATAAATCTAACTCTCTCAAAAATCTACAAACAACCATCTATCAACAAAAATAACAAAACTCAAAAGAACCTGCTGCCCATCGTCTCCCTACGATGGTAAGTGTGCGGTGGTTGGTCTGTCATCTATCATTTCCTAGATCCTACTTAAAAGTGTTCCGACAACGAGGGTGAGTCATAAACTCAATAGGTATGAATGGAATTCAATAAACTTATAATCAAAGAAGAAAACTATATCATGCTTGTATATTTTAACAAAAGAAACATCAACATAAAGAAACTTTTGCTTAGAGGAAATGCATACCTTTACCTCAACTTTCAAGTGCTTTTTCCTTCATAACATTTCCATTTTTCCTTTAACATTTTGCCTCACATGATAGTCTCAAATGCATAACATGAATATGAAATGTTCATAATAGTTTAACATGTAAATATAACATCCGTCTCGGGAGTACCACTTGTACTGATCAGGTACATAAAATTTGGCCATTTCCTTTACCATTGGTTCATAGGAACCATCCTTTACCATGGCTCATAAGAGCCTCCTTTACCATGGCTCATAGGAGTCTCCTTTACCATGTGATACTCCCGCGTCAACATGCACATACACAAATTACATATATAACCATAAGAGATGCTTTATGTAAACCATTCATAAACTAATCAAGTGTATGTTTCCTTAGGGATATACATGCTTGATATGCTTATGTGTGCTTTTGCATGTAAAGAGGAAATACATGTATAGTAAGAGTAGAGAAATGAGCATGGGATCCATTCATGAATTATACATTTGCATAAAAAGAACCTTTGCATTTGCCTCTAGTGTCCATGAACTTTCAAGGGAACAAGAGTCATAAGAGTTTCATAATAAGCATAAAAGAATTTATCATTTCTATGCAATTGCAATAAAAGAAGAATTGACTAAATTTATAAGAACTTCCATTCCACCTACCTCAATCCGTGCACATCTTTCTTTGTCCGATCAATTTTTTTCTCTCCACACAGTTAATATCTAAAAGAGACATACAAAGGAAAACATAAGTGACTAATCCCTATATAATATCCTAAACCCTAATTCAAAAGTAATAAAAAGGTTCTTCTAATGTCTTGTTTATGTTCCAATTCAAGCCCTCCACACCAAATCATGATATCTCTCAAACACATTCTCTCTCAATTATGGTTTAGTCCAATTCCTTAAGTTTTAAGCATGCAACACCTTTCCCTACCCTCAAAACATAATTAAAATAAAATCAATTTTCAGAATTTATTAAATAAAAAATTAGAAAATATTATTTTTCAAGCAAAACCCATGTATTTGCCTCTAAAATCCTCCCAACAACCAATGAAAACCATAGAGATAAAAAATTCATTAATTAGGGAAAAACCCTAAATTCCTAAACTCATAATCTTGCATAAACCTTATAATGTCTTCCCATAAAAACTTTCCCATGTCATTAGAAACATCTTTTGTGAAGGCATTTCCAAAGAAGATCAATTTTAAGTAAAACCCTAATTCCCAAAATTCACATTTTTCACAAAAACACTTCACATTAGGGTTTAAAAACTTCCCCTAACCCATCCCTAAACTTTTCTCAAAGAAAAAATCAAGTTTTCTCAAAACCTAGTTTTCATTTCTTAGAGAAAACTCAAGGGAAGAAGGAGAAAACTCAAGCAAAACACATACCTTAATCTTCCCTTGGATTTCCCTATGTTCTCCTCCACGATCGGCCGCCGAAAACCCGCCGCCCGAAGGTCCTGTCGCCGCTCCTACCCGGGCCCTCTCCCTCTTCTCCCCTCGGTTTGGTCGCAAGAAACAAATGGGGACCGAAATATTTCGGTCCCCTAATAAGGGTGGGGTTCTCATAATATAAGCACAATGACCTCAAAGCCCTCACTTAAACACCCTCTCTATTCAACAAGCATTAAGGGTAAAAATGTCATTTAGAACTTTCCGGAAATTTAACTCTCAAAATACTCAAAATCCGATATTGGTTCTACACATCAAAACGATTAGAATTTTGCGCTATATTTTCTAAAATTATTCCAGTCGAAATCCGACAACCTCAAATTTTTCACTTAAAACTCGTCGCGGCGCTTTGAAAAGCGTGCGAGGTCTAAAATGGCATTTTTCAAGTTTTACACCAAAAAAGCTATCCATTTATATACTTTAATGTTTTTGTAACCATTTGGTTTTCTACTTATCTTTGAAAGTTGATTGTTAGCTATTTAAATGGGTATCTTGTTTTTTCTTAGTATGCTATAAATTGAAATTCATGTTGCTAATATATTGAAAAAAAAAAAGAATAAGTTTTAATTGTACTTTTTTTTTTTTAATAAGTCAGATTAGGTGATCCGAACACGAGATTATTGAGAGGAATTACTTCCGTGGATCAATAGGCCGCCACACGATCCCCTCTATTGATTGATTGATTGTACTTTTATTATTATTATTATTTGTAGAAATTTTTTTTTCTCTCAACTAATGAATCAAATGAGCGATCCAGATAATAATTCTAATTCCTTAAGGGGAATCTTTTTGGACATTTGAAGCACATTGAAATGGACAGCTTGGAATGGCATTAAGGCTTCGTTTGGAGCGGCTTTCTTGTTACTTCTTAAAGCAGCTTTTTAATTCAATAATTAAAATTTTTGTACTAGAAAGCTACTTTAAGAAACAACAAAAAAGCCGTCCCAAACGAAGCCTAAATAGGAACAAGATTAGTGAAATTTAAAAGCTATTTTGCTGACTTCACTCCCCGTACTTGGATTTTATTTGGGACAGCTTTATTACTCCTACATGAAATAATTTTTTAACACACAATTTTTGAATTAAAATTTTTTAACTAGAAAGTTGTTTCATGAAGCAATAAGAAAGCTGTCTCAAATCAAACCTTAATGTATTCTATATTAAAGTACGACATTAGGTGGATACAATTACAAGGTCAAAGTTGGGTGCGTCTGTCCATTCAATTAAAGCTTCATTTCGGATGACTTTCTTACTGCTGCTTAAAATAGCTTTCTAGTACGAAAGTTAAAATTTATGTACTCAAAAGCTGTCCCAAATCAAACCTTAATGTATTCTATATTAAAGTACGACATTAGGTGGATACAATTATAAGGTCAAAGTTGGTTGGGTCTGTCCATTCAATTAAAGCTTAGTTTCGGATGACTTTCTTACTGCTGCTTAAAATAGCTTTCTAGTACGAAAGTTAAAATTTATGTACTCAAAAGCTGTTTAAAAAGCAGTAAAAAAGTCATCCCAAACAAAAACTAAGTCGAGATACCTTTAGCTGACTCTGACAATTCAACTAATGTTTGTTCCATTGAGCATTAGTTGAATTGCTGTTGCTATCACTAGATAATTTATAAAATTTCATGCAGAATAAAAAAAATTTAAGCCAATTTTGATAAAATATGCTGATTAAAATTACAAAAAAATGACCTCTTGTGCATGACACAAGCTTGTATTTGTTAATGTATGGACAAGCTTTTCAAAAACTACTTATAGAAATCAAAACTACTAAGAAAGAAGTGTGCGAATAGTACAATAACTGCAAAGCTACTTTCCTTTGATTTTGAGATAGGCATACAAACCAGAGCCCACAAAACCAAGAGCCTGCCCTATGACGTTAAGCTGCAAGAAAGCAAAAAAAACAAAAGTTATAACCCATAATATTGAAATAGCAGACTTCAAAAAATCATCAGATAATCAGATCATCATTTCTACGAGAGATTATTCTGTGCGGAAGTCGAACGCAACTCTACGTCCGGATACCAATCAGAATGAGCCACATCAACGATACCGAGCCGCTGTACCGAGCGGTACCAAGCTGCGGGCTTAGGTATTCGGACGGGTTCCGCTTCCGAACAAAATAATTTTTCCATTTCAACTCATATTTTTTCTTCCAATAGTTAGGGAAACAGCTTCTCATCGCAAAGTTGGAAGAAAGAAAAAATACTGCAGCCAAATGGAATTATAACAGCTTTATGAAAAACAAAACTAAGAAAAGAAATTGTCCCAAAAGAGCGAGTTTTTATTCTGTACGGATACTGGACGGAAGAACTGTCAGGTTAAGCACTGGGTACCCAGCAGTATCTAGGAGTACCGAGCTGGGTATCCATCAATAAGGTGACTAGCACATTTTTATTGGTCTCCGGAAGCCCTCCACACTCCGCACAGAATAATGAATCCAAAAGAGCACCCCTAAATGAGCCAAATGTAATTTTGATGCTTAGCTTAAACTCACCAAATCAAAAGGAAGACCTCCAAACAATAGCCAGCCAAGCCCTATGGTAAATAGATCCTGCACCAAAACATCACATTAAAAAATAAAAAAATAAAAAAAAAAAAAATATATATTGTTCTTAAGAAAAGACCCAAGCAAGAAGAGAAGAGAAGAAAAAGAGGGAAAAAGCTTCTCCTCGATCACTGCCAGAGCTCCGCCCGACGTTCAAGAGACGCCGGAATTCTGCCCGACTTCCAAGTGACGCCGGAGTTCCGAGACAATATCATGAAATAAGCCAGTAAAATGGTCGGACATTTGAAGACTTGGCGCTAAGAAAACGGGCAAAAGAGTAGTGCATTATGCCGAGTACTGTTATGTGAAAATTGAAGAAAATCATAGGAGTAATATTTCAGAATGCATTGGTAGAAATAAGCATTTCTTAAATCTTAGTGATAAAGACGGGGATATAACTTTTACAGTTAAAGTTTTATGGTTCAAGGGAAGAAGTGCTTTGAAAGTGTAGTGTGGTAGGTGGATATCAAAGAGATTTAAAGATAAATTTTATAGAACCACCATCAGGTTAATGACATTGTATGGATTCAAATGTGGGCTTGTAAAAAAAAGCATTGATAAATAAATTGACAATTATAAGTGACAAATCAAAGAATAGTTATATTAAAGAAAGATTTAAGTGACTTGTATTAAAGGCAAGGTGATTGAAATAAAACTCAGGTATTATGAACAACAACAACATCATCATCAAGCCTTTGCCCACTACGTGGGGTCGGCTACATGAATTCTTTTTCGCATGAAATGTACAATAAAAGGTAAAAAAACACATTAAATGAGTTGATAAAATTAGCACCAAAATATTAGAAAGAAAAAATGGCAAATCGGGCATGGTTAGATCTGGAGGGGGAGGAAGATATGGTTTGTGTGATTGGGGTCAACAATGGTATGCATGAGTAGCGAAGTTGGGTGGAGGCACAACTGTGAAGAAGACATGGTGACTGCATTTGATTCTGCATTGGATCCGGTGGGGCTGAATCTGGGTTCGATGTTGTTAGTATTCGGGAAGGGCATTGGTGGAATCAGGTTGGTTACGGTGGTTCATGTGATCTAACTAAGCCCATATCTGGATGTCTCGAAGAGGACAAATGACATCTATTAGAGTTTGGAATAAAATTAGTTTGATATGATGACAGGGAAGGCTCAGAGGAAAAGTTCGTGAGTAGATTTGGGCTGTAGTAGAAGCCCCTAGAATGGGGAAATCTGGATGCCCTTTTCTTTTTTGGCCAAGATACTGGTCGACGATGTCACAAGATTGAGAAATATAGATCTGGCAAGGATCGAGGCTTGAGTATAGATTTGGACTACGACTTGCAATTAGGCATCAAAGTGAACAAAGATCTGAGGTAGGTGCACTGACATTGATGGATACTGAATCCAAATAGTGGCGAGGCTCAACAAGAGCATCATTATTGTAAACTCAAACAATAAAATACAAAAAAAACAAGGATACATGATAACTATTCAACTTCAAGCTAGCCTAAAACTACAAAAATTGATTAGGGAAGAAGAGATGGGAAATTCAAGGATGCCCATAACTACAAACATTATTGGGGAAAGAGAAGACATTAATGGCTCAATAAAGCACCTAATAATAATTTAATAAGCTTAATTATCTAAAATTTGTAATGACCCACAAAATTGCCAATTACATTTATTCCATAATAGATGGTTGGTGTAGAGGTTTAACTTATTTTTTGATAAGAAAATCCTTCAAAATATTGTGATTTTGTTGACGGACAGTCTTGAAAACCTAAATGGTGACCCAATAGTGAGTCCACAGCTTATATACTAACTACCTTCATACCAAATTTTCATCTAACTTCTCCATTTTTCTTCATGCAAAAGTTTATAATCAATTGTTGTGCTTCTTGGAGGCCAAGAAGTGAGGCACCTTTAGAGTAGGTGTAAACTCCAAAGAGGAAATAGAAGAGAGGGAAAGGAGAGGGATACATAATTTTTCATTCATACCATTTGATTTACAATAGGGGCTATTTATATTAGTTGGCAAGACAAAATTTATAAGATAGACATGGTCTAACTAATACATACCTTAAAATAAAATATATAGACCCGGTCTACCTCACTAAAAAGAATAAAGATAAAATAAAGCTCATTATATATTTTTAGACCACTTTTTATGTTGCCAATCTTAACTATTTTGGTGTTCTTCTTCTTCTTCTTTGGTAGACTCTCATGATTGTTAGTTGGTCCTTCATGTTGATATCCCATTCTTCACAATTTGCTTGTAAAATTGATCCAAAGAATTAGCCAATGCATTCAAAGAACAACATAGGCACCATGGATGGAAATGATGAATAAATCTAAGGTCGCCTAACAACCTCGCATAGTAATTATGATATTAGGGGATGGACGATGGTGAGAGAAGGTTGGGCCGAATGACTAGAGCTGAGGTTGGATGAAGGGAGAGAGGTAGGTGTAATCTTGGTGGATGGATATGAATGATTTGGTTTATGCCAATTTCAGGATGGGGTAAAAAGAAGTCTTGAATTTTTTATTCATGACACCTAATGTGTTCCATTGCATCCATTCATTGTCGTCAGTGCCAAATAATAAGTAGAATTTATTAGGGCAACGATGTTGGGGTCCAAATTTTGCATCACAATTAAAAAAAGACCTTTTTCACATCTATGTTGAATTTCAGCATAAGAGAGTTTGCTAATTGGGAGTTTAAAAGGTTTATGGATGGTGAGCGAAGGTTGGGCCAAATGAGTGGAGTGGAGGTTGGATGAAGGTAGAGAATTAGGAGGTGTAATCTTGGTGGATGGATAGGAATGATTAGGTTTATGCCTATGTTGCACCGATACACATGTTTATGAAGGCGTGCTGTATCGGATACGTGTCAAACACGAATACGCGTCCGATACGATAAAGCCGAATCCGATTAAAATACTATTTAATTTCAAAAGGACACGTGTATCGGATACATGTGTCCATTGAAAAACGAAAATAAAAAATAAAAAATAAGACACATCGTATTTACTTTGCGGCTGCGAGCGAGGATGTCTCATTTCCGAATCCGTGAGCCAAGGCATTAGGGCTCCTTCATTTCTACGATCGGCAAGCGTGCATCAGCAGTTGCGAGCGAGTTTCGTCGAAGGAGCGGGAGAGGAGAGGCGGCTGATGCCGAGCAGGTGAGGAGGGCATATGCGAGAAGCAACCGACGCCGAGCAAGCAAGATGAGGGCGTACGCGAGATGAGCATTCGTTTATGCGAGACATTTGTTTAGGAGAGACGAACGTCCGTTTACGCGAGCCGAGGCCAGGCAACTGCAAGCTTCTTTTCCGGCATCGATTACGCGAGGCGAGGCCACACATGAATGTTTGGTTCATTTTCGTGTCTTCTAATCTTGCCTCGTTTAATTTCTTTTCATGAAGAAAATTCATCAAGGAAATTCACAATTTATATTGTTTTGGTATTTGATGCCTAGAGCATAAAAAATGAATGAATATTTTTTGCTAATTTTCTTGAGCAAAGTTAGGTTTTGTTCTCTAAATTTTGATATTATAAGCTACAAGGCTACAAATGATGTTGCTTTCATTTTTTTTGTCATTTCAAATATTATACTTTGATTGCTTTCTTAATTTTTATGTATAATTTATAAATTATAATGTTGTGTCCACGTCATACCCCTATCCTATATTTTTAGGAATTGACGTTTCCCGTATCCGTATCGTGTCGTATCTGTGTCGCCATATCCGTATCGGTGCAACATATGTTTACGCCAATTTGAGGGTAGAAAATAAGTCTTGAATTTTTCATTCATGACGCATAATGAGTTCCATTGCATCCAAAAGAGAAATAGGACGAATAAGTAAAAGTTCTCATCATAATTCTTATTTAAGTCAAGAAATGAAATAACTAAAGGTGTAGACTTTGATAGGTTGGGAACTTTAAATGCAAGATTTTTAAAAGCTTTTTTATAATCTAAAACAGAAGTTTGTTGAGTTAATTTTAAAAGATTATCATGTAAATCTTCATAAAAAGAAAGACCAAACGTTATTGTAAAGATAACATAAAATAATACCAAGAAAGAAATTGACCTTTCATCCTACACCACTAATACCAAGTAGCAGGGGGGTCTTCTAGATGAAAAGAAGCAATTCTAATGCAATGACAATCAAGAGTATTATGAAAATTGAAATATTCTTGTGCTTAAAAGATCCATGTTTCTACATCAGATCCATTAAAGCAAAGGAAGTTCGATTTTCATAGTTTTAAGATAGGGAAAATCTGAAGAAACGGGAGTAGGAAAGGGGTCGGCAGAACCAAGAATACAGGGGGAGGACGCATGATCTTGATTGCAAAAGAAAGGTGGTCGGTCAGTGCATAAGCTGTCAAGTAGCTTATAAAAAGAATCCATTAAAGTTTGAAATTGTTGGATGGACGTGCCAAAAAAAGCAAATTAAACGTCGGCTTGTTGGAGAGATTTTTAAATTTCAATAAATTGCAAGGCGTGATTACTTTGCATTGAGCGTAAGGCTTCAGCCAAATCAATATTCTTCTTGTTGTTTACGTATAATGAATTTTGGAAAGATGAAACTCTTTGATACAAGAATTGGTACATGTACCAAAATTAAAAGAGAAACCCAAGTAGAATGTGTAGAATAAAAATAATAAAAAAATTTCAGTAAGAACAAGAAAATAGAGAACCAGATGTTGACTTGAAAAATTATTGTTCTTGTGCAGGAAACATGCAGACCGGCGCACTACAGGAAATTCATTGATAACCGGCGGTCTGGACCGGCAGTTGTCCAGCCGCCGGTAGTAACGGCGGCTTACACGGCGATCGGACCGCCGGTTATTACCGGCGGCCTACCCGGCCGTTATGCAAGGATAAGCCGCCGGGAATAGCGGCGGTCCAGAAACTGTCGGTATTTAAAATTACCAACGTCTTACCGGCGGCTAGAACCGCCGGTGTTAAGTGATTTTAATACCGGCGGTTTGGGCCGCCAGAACGCCGCCGGAAAAAGCCCTAAAAATCAATCATCCCAAGCCTCTTATTTCATTCCATATCCCTCTCTCTCTCTCTCTCCTGCGATACGCTCGCCGCCTCTCCTCTGCCCGCCCTCTCACGACCGAGAAGATTTAGGCCGCCGACGAGGTCCCTCCGGCCGCCGACAAGGTCCTTCCTGCCACCGACGAGCTCCCCACTGCAATCCTGAAGGGCTCTCACCAGTCCCGTGCGCGTCGCCTTTCTCGATCGGAGGTTTGCGTTTTTAATTTTCTGGCGCCGTTTTTGTTATTTCGGATGGATTACATCAAGGAATAGCTCTAATTAAAGTGGGGCTGAAGAAACTGTAAGCCAGAGGGTTGCAGCGCTGACTAGAAAGATTGAAGAGATGAGAAATGTTCAAAATGAAATGCAAGCAGAGTTGCAATCCTACAGAGATGTAAATCAAAGGAAGAAAGAGCAAGAGACAGAGTAGCCACATGCATCTCCAAACAGCGAGGATATAGACGAGGATTAGCACTTTTTTATGTTTGATGAACTTATGATGATCTGATTGTAAACTTATTTGGTTGAACTTATTGAACTTAGAACTTGTGAACTTGGTTGAACTTGTGAACTTAGAACTTTGGTTTCATTTATTATTTTGTTTGGTTTAACTTATGAATATATTTGTGATAATTGTTGTGATTGACTATAGTGGCGTGTTGCCCAAAATTGTTGTTATTGCTTTCTGTGCAGGTTTAGAGTTTAGGGTGAAAATCCCTCAAATAGAGGGGACGCTGTCAATTTTTTTTTTAGATGCTACAGGTTTCTGGTGGCTAACCGACGGTTTAGCCGCTAGAAACTTCGATACCGGATGGCTAATTGATGCCGCCGTAAATCTACTATAACTGCCTATATTTACCGGTGGTTGACCAACGGTGTCCGGCGACACGCCAGCGGTACACACCGCTGGCAATTCCTTTGGTTGTGACCGTCGTTTAGCCGTCGGTACTTTTCCTGGCGGTCTACCAGTGGTCGAACGATGGTATTTTTACCAGTGGTCGGACGGCCGGGGAGCCACCGGTAAAAACAACGGCGATAACCGGCGGTACAAACCGCCGGAACACCGTCGGTGACAAAAACCGCCGGAAAAACACCGCCGGTAATGGTTTCCTGCGCCGTTTTTTCCGACGGTTTGAAAACCGCCGAAAAGTCATCGGTCTTTTACACAACCGCCGGAAAACATGAGTTAACCGCCGGCAAAAACCGTTGGTAATGAGTGATTTCCTGTAGTGGCGGGGATTCTTGAATCTTTGAAGGTTGCTGAATATTGTTGGAAAGAACAAGCGGGTGATTGTTGGAAGGATCTTGCGGACTGCTGCAATTTGTCACGGTTTACTGGAAGAATGGCTATTGGGGCTGAATGACTCATCAAGCAGGTTCTTATCTGGAATTTGTGGCTAAGGGGGGCGGCTGCAGCAATTTTTGAGTAGTAGCCAAGCTTGGTTTAAGTGTGACGCCTTTAAAGTAGGTGTAGACTCCTAAAAAGAAATAGAAGAGAGGTAAAGAAGGAGAGGAAACCAATTTTTGTCATTCATACCATTTGATTTACAACGCCTTTATATTTATTCTATTTGTACTACTTGGGTAGATCAAATTTACAAGATAGATATGATCTACCTAATACATACCTTAAAAATAAAATTGATATATCTAGTCTACCTCACTAAAAAGAATAAATATAAAGTAATGCTCATTACATATTTATAACCACTTTTTATGTTGTCAATTTTAACTATTTTGTAGTTATTTGGTAGACTGATGATTGTTGTTTAGTCCTTCATGTTGGCAGCTCATTCTTCACAATTTGCTTGTACCATTTTATGATCCAATGAAATATATTGATGTCTAACATCAACACACCTCCATAATCCAAACAAAATTAGATCAATTTCATTTTAATCCTTAAACTACAAGAAAGTGAACTAAAAGTAAGCGGGTCCTTGCAAGAACATCTTTAATTCATTTTCTTTTTATCTCACTAGCCTAAAGATAGGAAGGGTATGTTTAAATTCTATAAAATCAAGACAACTTTTAGAAGTAAAGGGATTTATAATTAATAGAACAAAAGTAAAGTACATAATTTTTAGTTTTAGTAGATTTGAAAATACTAGTCAATAAATAATAATGATTGAAGATGAACTGAAATCAAAATATGATTGATTTGAAAATATTGGATATTTGTATCTCCTATACAAAAAATCGAGGAGAGTCTAGATGATCATACAATGATGAGTAGTTGAAAAAGCCTTGTATTATATAATAAAATAATATTATGAATTTGGAGTAAAGTTTATAAATATGGCCAATTATGTTGTATAGATTCAAGTGCTGGAGAAACAAACTCACTACCAACCATATTGAGTGCAGCAAAAAAAAAAAGTGAAGATGATGTGTTTAAACAACGAGTATATTATAGGGAGTGCTGAAGTAGATATAATGGTCAGTTGAACAACACTAATACAAAAGATGGCAAAAACTGTTGTGATAGAACAATAAAGACAAAGAGGAACGGATGGTAATAACTTATAAGAGTTTTGCTAAAGCCGTATTATTAGACTTGCTTTATAAGCTTACTGAAACTTACGCTTCCAATTTTCATTATGTTTTTGAACTTATCTCAACATATTTTGGTCAATAAGATCACAGTTTCCAGTCAAATTTGCAAGTAAAATACAAATGTCATCAAGTGAAGAGGGAGATTCAACACAAACAAAAGTGTAAAAGTTTAGAAAGGGGATCTTACCTGGAAGCCTGTAGAATATAAATAAGGAAAACTGATAGTCAACTCCAAATCACCTCGAACTAGCGTCCAAAATAATAAAATAGGTGTACATACCAGTCCTGATAATAAACAGAAGAAAAAGTATTTATAGAAAATCTCAAAGCTTATATTAATTCATTAATTGGGTGCCCCAAATTTAGGAAAAAGCATGCAGCATACCATTGCACCACATAAGACCAAAGGTGTTCAGGCCACTTGATTTACCTTAGACAACACAGATCAGGAGAAAATTGTCAATTCTAAGCAAAAAATTTAAAGCTAATTAAGAGATTATGAAGATAAAGTCTTACCAATGCGAGATATAGTTGCAAGATATATTGCAGTCGTGATGTTGGAGAGAAAAACAATAGCATAACCATAGGTATCAAAGGATAGGTCTCGAGCTCCAGCAACAAATGCTCCAAAAACGATTAACGCCACACTGATAGAATCCTTAGTATATCATCGAGAAACAAATCAGAAGAAGCAAAGCATGTTCCAAGCTTTGCATGCCTTCTATTAGAAAAAAACTAAGAATGCATGAAAAATAAAATCTGAATTTATCAGAAGAACATAGAATAAATGACAAACTGCTCAAACAATTGATGAATGATTTTAACCAATAAAGAACCATGAAAAAGAGGCAGACAAAATAATACAATAGAATAACAATAAGCTTCCTAAGTCATAGATGACAAAGCATGCTGCAAGGTTCAGTAATCACAGAGCGCCATAGCTACAATTGAACATATCCATTTAGAGAATTAAAACACATGGCATTGTGACTACATTAATCATAGAAGAAAACACACAGAGTAGAAAGAATAGCCAATACTCAAGACTGGAAAGAAGTAGAATGCAAGAATAGCAGAGCCTTCTCCTGCAGATTACAGAATAGAATTTAATCTGGACCAGAAGAGCAATTCAGATTAAGAAGGATGACACCCTTTTGGCACATATCGACATTTTTCCACAGATCACAATATCTCCCTTATCAAGAAGGTATATCAATGATAGATCTATATAGCTTCTGAAGAATCTATTACCCTGAGCTCTTGCATCAGACATGAACTTGATGATGACATTGAGAAGTAACTAGTTAATGATGTCAGAAATTAAGAATGCTTTAGCCAGTTTGTCATCCCCATTAAAGCAAGCAGAATGTGCCAATCACAAGAAGAAAAAAAGAGGTGGGGGCAAAGAAAACTCTAGGTTCTTTCCTTCCCCAGGATTCCTTTCAAAAAAGTACTGTTGTAAAGTGGACAGCAACAAAAGGTGTCAACCTACTGGTATTCTCATTTTTTAACATTACTTATAGATCCTTGCATAGGAATACCCCTTAAAGGCACTCAGCAGATTTAACTTGGTAAATCACACCCCTGTAACACTTATCCAAACCAATTTCCATGCAAGGCCTTAAAAAAATCAACATATTTAAGCCGTCTTCCACAAGAATCCTCACTAACATAATTCGAGGAGGTTTAATAAGAAGGCAATGAGAAGTCAATGTAATGGTGGATTGAAAATTAAAACAAAGATATGAACTGGCTGCCTCTCTCATCAGTTTCTTCTTTTTCATGTTTTTCCTTAGAACAATGTCATCACTTGCCAAGCTAAGTACATTATTCCGATGATACATGACATAAAAACAACAGAAAAAATGCATTTTGCACAGATACAGACCATCTACAAGGAGAACTTGCATTCAAATAAGTTCTCATCAGAAGGTCAACTCTGTTCATCAGCTGCATAAACTTGAACCAAATGAACATAAAATACTTTGAAATTAACAGCTTCACCAGCTTTTCTTAAACGTAATGATCACCTCCAAGATAAACACAAATGCTTAGCATCACCAAAAACCAAGAGCTTTCATTTTCCCTTCCATTCTTCTTCATATGTGCATATCTATGCAAATAGATATGCCTCTTGGTATGTCCATTTTATTAAAGGAAGGCGTATGGCCTCTGTGGGTATTTTACCCAAAACTCTCTACATCACCTCAACTAGAACAAATCAATGGAATGGACAGGCGCAGCCTTTTCTAAGCCAAACCAAGGCCAGGCACAAATTTCATAATATCACATCCATATCTAATTTAGTAATATTTGGCAACTTACAAACATGGATAAAAAAACATTTTAAGTAACTAGGCGCAATGCCCTTTAGCCCATTGAGTCCGCTGTTTGCTCAGGAAAAGAGTGAGAACTCTGTATTTGAAATTTATAGCTCTTTTTTCGTGAGATAGATTATGTTTAGTTCAACCAAATTTTCATGGTGTTCCTATGAGGGTTATTGAGATATATGTCTAAACTTTTTATAGGCGCAACTGTGCAAGTAAGGATGGACATATAAGCTCAATATTAGGCCAGTGACATTTAGGTTTCAATGAATGGGGTAATAAAGGTATAACTGATCAAGATTCCATGATTCCATCATTCGAGAAATAATGGCGCTCTTAGCATGTTGACTCTAGAGGGCTGTAAGCCATAACATCCAAAGAATTTGATTGACAACCATAGATTACCTCCCCTTAGGTATCTCGAGCAGATCAGAGCGAAGTATGAAAGTTTTAATTGATTTAACAAGCTTGATAACATGAGAGAGCAGACCCAAATATAAGTTGGACCTATGTCCACATTAGAAGGCTCAAATTTTACTGGAGACTAGGATCACTAGTATTTCCAGGATGACTGAATAATGGGATCTTGACCGAGTCTACCTCCATATACCTCATTAAATGAAACCCAAAGGTTGAGTTTAAGCCAAAAATTTAGCATATGTGATCATCTTTAATCGAGAGTGATCTCCTATGAGCAGCAACAACAACAACAACATCAAGCCTTTATCCCACTATGTGGGGTCGGTTACATGAATCCTTTTTCTCCATTGTGTCTTATTAAAAGTCAAATTCTCGTTTAAATCTAATAAAGAAAGGTCATTCCTAATATTTTCTAACCAAGTCTTTTTAGGTCTACCCCTACCTTTCTTAACACAAGTCAAATATAATACCTCTACTCTCCTAACCGGGTCATCGGAAGGCCGCCTTTTTATTTGACCAAACCATCTAAGGCGACTCTCTCTAATCTTATCTTCTACTCCAACCTTTTCACGTATATGCTCATTTCATATCCTATCTCTAAGGGTAAAGCCACTCATCCACTTGAGCATCCTCATCTCTGTCACACTTAACTTAGTATTATGCTTCTCTTTTAATGGCCAACATTCGGCACCATAAAGCATTGCAGGCCTCACTACCAAATTATAGAATTTTCCCTTAAGTTTGAGGGGTACATTTCTATCACATAACAAGCCCGATGCATTCCTCCACTTCAACCATCCAACTTGAATTCTGCTGATAATATCCCCATCTATTTCACCATCACTCTGAACAATAGATCCAAGATATCTAAAACGCGTACTCTTATTAATGACTTGATCGCCCAAAGTCACAATCCCCTCACTAGGTCTATTACTACTAAAATTACACTCCATATATTCCGTTTAGATCTACTCAACAGAAGAGCAATTCAGATTAAGAAGGATGACACCCTTTTGGCACATTTCGACATTTTTCCACAGATCACAATATCTCCCTTATCAAGAAGGTATATCAATGATAGATCTATATAGCTTCTGAAGAATCTATTACCCTGAGCTCTTGCATCAGACATGAACTTGATGATGACATTGAGAAGTAACTAGTTAATGATGTCAGAAATTATGAATGCTTTAGCCAGTTTGTCATCCCCATTAAAGCAAGCAGAATGTGCCAATCACAAGAAGAAAAAAAAGAGGCGGGGACAAAGAAAACTCTAGGTTCTTTCCTTCCCCAGGATTCCTTTCAAAAAAGTACTGTTGTAAAGTGGACAGCAACAAAAGGTGTCAACCTACAGGTGGAATACCCCTTAAAGGCACCCGGGTCAATTTCGAGCTGATATTAGGTCTTCGGGTTAACCCAAACCCGACCTAAAATTAGAAACAAGTTAAATTGTGAAACTTGAACCCGATCCGTTTTCCAAATGGGTTGACCCAAACCCAGATTTTTGTGTCGGGTTCAGGTCGGATTTTCAGATCGTGTCAAATATTGACACCCGTAGAAATAGTGGATTATAGACGCAACAACAATGGGAGAAAGGAAGCAGGAAAGTAGGCAGTGTGTAGTAGGGTAGGGAAACTAGTAAAAAGAAATGAGGCACATTATTTTGGCAACAGATATCCTTCCAACTCCTATCATCACAATAATTATTAAATTGAACCTAAACTCTCAATGGACTAAGCAGAACCTTATAGTAATGAATTAATCCTAACAAAATGCTCACAAATACTAGATAGCTCATACAACTCATAAAGGATCATCATCATAAATAAAATTTTCCCACACACAAAAAAGAAAATAAGATAATTGTAACATCATCTATCTATATGGATTTGCATATATAATGAGTATAGATTTCAGATTTGCATCACAACCTCTCTACAATATAAGGGTAGAGTACATTATCTCCTCTGCAAACCTAACATTAGTGGGAGGCTGGGAGCTTCATGCAATAGCTCCTTTTTTACTAAAATGTAGAAGTTAAATTGCACGGCAAAATAAATTAAATGGGTAAAGTGAGAGCCGCGAGAAAGAAAGGCCATTTACCTGCCAACAATAGAAAGTGTGTACTTCTGCCCTATAAGGAGGTACTCCACAATCATCGTAAAAACAACAGTAGTGCGCCTGAGAGTGGTATACATGGGAACATTTACTCCACGTACAGACTCCATTCCTGCAAGCTATTTACAAAGAAGGCATTGGGTTCAATTACTAAAGAATGTCAGATGATTTCAAAATAAATCAGAACATAATTACAGCAACAAACCATGTACAACAAATATGCCAATGAAAGGGGAAGTGTATGCAACAGTGTCTTTGGAGGAACAAAGTTTCCAGAATCAGTTGAAGACCAAAGATCACCAACACTGAAAGTGATGATCTTCCAACGTCTCAACACATAAAGAAGGGAAGTTGAGCATATCATCTATAAGAGGAAAGAATAAAAACAAGAGTTAAAAAAATGATAAATAAAAAGAAAAAAGCTAAACATGAAATCCTCCTCAAGGAAAATAGAGGGCAGTACCTATATACCTAAATCGTTGGAGAAATAGACATGAAAAAAGTTTGTTTGTTAACAAGCTTTGAATTTGTGCCAACTGAAGTTTAAAGCTTATTATAACTTCTACATGACAGTCATTGCAAAGAGGTGGTATATATGCCACAAAGCTATACAGCTAAATTAAGGATTACAAGAAACTAGGAACTAATTCGTATGTTTCAAAATAAGCATAAGAAAATTATGAGTGGGGAAAGTCACCTGTGAAAGCGTGATGACATTAGCCGATGGAAAATTATATGAAGACAAAGCTGCTTTGTTGAACATCACCAGAAGTACTGTAAAATGCAAATCAACCAATAATGATAAATATGATGACAATACAGATGGAATACCGAATACAAAGTTAATTGTTAGGAAGTGGCAGAAAAATCCAATTCCCTTGGATTGAAATCAAATTATAGCACACCCACGCACAATCTCTAAGAGGAAACAAGAGAAACAATGGACATAAATCTCTTTTGTATTGATGAAATAATAAGAAAATAAACAAGATACAATGGATCTTCTATTGGAGAGGAAGATCCGGCTCTCCCAAAACACTAGCGCCAGCTAGAGCCCAAAACTCCTAAGAACAATCAAAATTCAACAAAATCGCCACATGCCCTAACCCTAGAGAAAACCTATCTATTTATAACATACAAATGGCAAAGCAAATTACTAAATAGCCCTCTCACAAATTAATTCCTTGTTTAACTGCCCCATCCTAAATATATTCAAATAGTGGGCCCCCCAAGGGGGCCAGGCTGGAGTAGAGGCGGACCGTTGGTCCGCCCGGAGTAAACAAGGGCTAGCTCTTTTACTAGGGCCGGCTAGACCGATCTAACATTAATCCACAGTTATTGCAATTAGAAAGAATTTCAAGGAATTAACAAGAGTTAAACTCATTCATATACAATGATGTAATAAAAAAAGTAATAAACAATGCATAATAAAAAAACATATAAGCCTATAGATGCAAACGGTGTATTTGGTAAAGTTACCCAAAAAATTCAGACCTAAGCCTTAGGGTCCCTTTGACACTGTCGAGACATGTGCAGCAAAACATAAAACGAAGGTGCACATACATTATAGTGGCTTCCTTTGCATATTTCACAAACTAATAAAATTTGTAATATATCAAAAAAATTTGAAAAGTGAAGCATCTGAAAAATATTTTAAATGAAGAATTAATGTGATTGAACGAGTAAATTTTCGAGATGATTAAAATGCCCCAATATATATCTCCATTATTTTACATAATAGGTGATGATACTTAGACCTATCACATCTAGGCATTATTTTACCTTCTAATAATATTGATTCATAATTATAAACATCACATTCAATTGCATTTTTTCCATTGTTATAACTTTCGACTTATTTGAGCAAATATGTCAAATCAATTAGAAGTATGTTATTTACAAAAACAACAATAACCACAACAAAAACAGCAATAAAAACAACAACAACAAACATTTATCCCACTACGTCGGGTCAACTACATAAATTATTTTTCTATATTGTTTCCTATTAAGAGTTAAATTTTAATAAAAAAATGTCATTTTAACTATTCTAACAAAATTTTTTTAGGTCTACATATACCTTTTTTAGCATAGGTCAGCTCTAATACATCTACTATCCTAAAAGGGTCATTAGAAGGTCAACATTTTATGTGACCAAACCATCTAAAGGTGACTCTCTAATCTTATATGCCACTAGAGCTACTCAAATCTTTTCAAGTGTATACTCATTTTGTATTTTGTCCTTAAGTGTAAAGCCACTGATCCACCTATGCATCGGTGCATCCTCATCTCTACAATACTTAACTTAATTTTATGCTTCTCTTTTAATGACCAATATTCTGCGTCATAAAGCATTGCAGGTCTCACCACCATCTAATAAAAATTTCTCTCAAGTTTGCGGGTTACTTTTCGATCACACAATAGGCCCAATGCATTCATCCACTTTAACAATCCAACTTGAATTCTACTAATAATATCACCATCAATTTCATCATTATTCTGAACAATGTACCTAACGTATCTAAAATGAGCACCCTTTCTAATGACTTGATCACCCAATATCACAATCCCACTAGAGTTAGAACTACTAAAATTATACTCCACGTATTCGGTTTTAGATCTACTCAAACAAAATCCTTTAGGCTATCAAACTCCATAATTCAAGTTTTTATTCAACTCCTCTAGTTTCATCAACAAAAAACATACACCAAGATACATCCTCTTGAAAATGTCTAGTAAGAACATCCAAGACTAAAGTAGAAATTTATGGGCTTAAAGCCAATCCTTGATGTAAACCAACTAAAATAGAAAAATATTGGTCGAACCACCTTATGTTTAAACAAAAGTAACAGCTCGTGTATACATATTCTTAATAACTTGAATATAAGCATTATAAACTCCTCTTTTTTAGAATTCTCCATAGAACTTCTCTTGTAAATTTATCATATGCTTTCTCTAAATCAATAAATATCATATGAAGATCATTCGTACACTCTTTATACTTCGCCATCAAACCTCTCAATAAATTAGAACTATGTCATTTATAAAAAACAATACACCTAGGAACCTTTTTTCAATGTCCATTGTAAGCATCGCAGAAATGAATAAGAAAAACATGAATTCAATGTTGATCCTTGATATAACATTACCATAATTAAAAACTCTTTTCATTGCTCCACATCTACTTCTAATATAATAAGTCATTTACATAGATATCTTTAATAGATTCAACTACCTTTAACACATAAATTCCTTCCTTAATGCATATAAAAAATCAAATCATATAACACTAGATCATGGCTTCTCGGGATCAATGAAAATCATTTAAAGATCATTTTCCTACTTGTACATTTTCATTAATTTTCTGAACACAAAAATTGCTTCCACTATTTTTTTTTATTAAAAAATTTTGATTTTATTTTCTTTTGCACAGTTTTTGAAGCAAATGTTCTATTTCTCTTTAGCATAACTTCTTTCTATAACTCATAAGTTTAATCACTATTTAATTAGTCAAAGAATTATTTTCCTAAATACTAGTACCAAAATACTTCTTCTACAATCCCTTGGTTATCTCTTAGCCTTTGAAATTTAATTGAAAATATTTATTAATCAAACCACAATTGTATGTCCTATAGCTCCCCAAGTTTAAATGGATGTCTTGTATTCACCTAAAGCTTAAGCTTTATGCATCATCTTCAAAGCTAACTTCATTTTTATTTTTAGATCGGTCTATATATACTATATTATCTTGCTCATCATGCTATTCAAAAATAATATCTTCCTTAAAATTCTCATTTAATAATTTCTCAAATTGAATTTGTATGTCCTTTATTTCTACATTCTAACTAGGACCCTATTAACTTCGCTTGTAATACATCTTTCTAGATCCCTTATGTTTTACCTTCATTAGTTTATATATCTCATTTTTCTACTTCTTTAGTAATTAAGTTATCATATAAATCATCAAAATTTATAACTTTTTCTTTGCTTCCTACCCTTTGTTGCAATATTTTCAACTTACTTGTACTTGTAAGCCTCAAAAGTATTTAACTTTCATCATCCTTTAAAAGATTTTCTCTCCCTTAACAGTATCCTATTACTCCACTACCAAGTCTCATCACTAAAGTATAATATATTTCTAGAAAACCATCTTGATGGAAGTTGCCCATTTTACCTCACATTAAGTTTGGTTCAACTTAAAAATTCAAAATTACCTTTTTAGCAACCTATTTTAACATAAGCGATTAATAATTTCTCACCTTTTAAATTCCACACCATTTTCCCCTCAATTGTTTATTTTGGTCATTTTTATACTCTTGAGATGTACATCCATAACTTGAAACTATTATTCTATGTTGTTAGGCCAAACTCCCTTAGGGATGTACATCTCATAACTTGAAACTATTATTCGATGTTGTTAGGCCAAACTCAACTTAAAAATTCAAATTTACCTTTTTAGCAACCTATTTTAATATAAGTGATTAATAATTTCTCACCTTTTAAATTCCACACCATTTTCCCCTCAATTGTTTATTTTGGTCTTTTTTATACTCTTGAGATGTACATCCATAACTTGAAACTATTATTCTATGTTGTTAGGCCAAACTCTCTTAGGGAATCATCTTAAATTTTTAGCAAAAGAAAATTTGTCCAAGTAAAAACAATTCAATTTATGATTTGATGCACCTCCTTTTGAAAGTTATCAAAATTTTCATCACCTAAAGTATGCATTCGATATTTCACAACTATAAGCTATTGTTGAATTAAATATATCATCTAAAAATAAATTTTTCGCTATTACTCCATCACAATAATGAATTCTCTCACAATTGATACTACGAAAACTAATATGTCAAAATTCCAATTAGTCGCTCATTATAGTATCTTCTATTTCTCAATTATATATTATAATAGTCCATTGATCTCTTTGCAACTTTGATTCTCTAGCTATAATTCAATTTGAAAAGCATAAGCTTAAATGCTTTTATAACATCCTCGTTAATAATAATCTTAAGAGCAATCACTTGATCACTAACTTTTCTTTAGTCAATAATTTTATCTTTTAACTCTATATATACTATTATCCCAAAACATTTAAAACATACAGTAACTTACATTATCCACACCCCCTCCTCAATCCGCCCCTACAACCTCTCAACTACGATTAGGTTGTGATTCATTGCTTCTTGGGAATGGCATAGCACAATAAAATTCCAATTTGGGTCTTTTTTCACACAATTTTATGTTGAATATTGACCTATTATCAACTCTCAACCATTTTAAAATGGGTTTCGGATCAACAATGATGGTTTTTGTTATGTTATATTTGTCGTTCTAAATTTGAAGTGATTGGCATCGCATAACACCCTAAGTATGCATGCTATTCTTATCTACCTGTATATCAATAGATGTCACAGCTTCATATAAACCTCACTCTATCATTTTTCGCATTTCCTTATCTACTGAACAAAAAACAAATAAAACGGTCATTCAAGTTTACCGGTCAATTAAAGTTGCAATTCCCAAATCAATGATCATATAAAGAGGTTAATCAAAACAGATCAGGAAAAGGAAACACAAGATGCAAAGGTACAGCAGTAAGAGTTAACCTGCACAAAGCATGTAGGAAAGGGCAGCGTAGGCGCCCCTCTTGGTCATGCCGGAGCCCTTGAAGAGGCTCTCATCGCCGGAACGCGGAGGATCAACGACCGGCAGAAGCAAGCTCTTCTCCTGAACAAAGGGAGCCATCTGATCCCTCGCCGATTCCTCTCGGCCTCCTCGCTCTCGGTTCTTTCTCTTTGTTATCTCAAGTTCCAAATATCCAAAGGGCAAGATTGCTTTTTCCTTTTCCTATAGTTTTCGCTGCGGAGAACTTTTGGAAAACAGAGGAAGGGACAGAGAGGCGGACGGCGAAGACCCGACGGACAGACTTCGTCAGCGGGAAAGGATGAGAGAGGATCAGTATGATTTGAGAAGTAAGCGGGTCTAAAATGCCCACTGGGCGTGGAGAAATTATTAGTGTGGAGTACCACACCAATTAAATTTTGCCATATAATTTTTTTTTCTTATCAAAAAATTTTAAACTTATTCTAAATTTTAATTTATTTCCTGTACATGTATAGTTTTTAAGATTTAATGTGTATTCTTCAATTATTTACAGGTCAAATGTGACGAAGAGGCATGTTTTTGTCCAGCAACTATGTAAAATTTTATGAAGAACTACTGGGAGAAGAAGAAAAGGCCAAAGGGTAAGATGTAACTTAACATAATAATTTCTTTTAATATTTATTATGAGTCAATGTACGTTTTGCTGAGTTTAATTTTTTCAATAGATAAACTTATTATAGAGACAACTATAACATCACTATGTTTACCTTGATGGTTCACACATTGACTCAAATGCATTCTTCAATTATTTGTATGTTGCATATCTTGAATAATACATGCTTCTATAAATCAACTATGTAAATTTTATCTTAAATGATAATTTTCTGAAAGTTAATTTTATTCTCTCAATTGTAATTATTATGCATTTTTTCTCTTTCGTTTATATGGTGTTTTTTTTTCATTTTGATGCTTTTTGAACTTGTACACAGTGTGTTTACAAGTGATTTTTTTAAGTGATTTTTTTTCATATAAACTCAATGTATATTGCATTTGAAAAGTATAGATATAATAGTGTTAAAGATTTATTGTGTGTTTTTGTTCATTTTGATGGTTTTTCGCTTATACACAGTGTGTATACGAGAGAAATTTTTATCCATTTTAATATTTTTTGAAAAGCTTAGATACAATGATATAAATGATTTGCGACGGGGCATTGTACATGGCAGAGTGGCCTTTGCTGCCACGATCCACTGAGATCCTGCCCTATGTTGCAGCAGATTCGTAAAAAAAAATGATATAAATGGTTTGTGTGGTGTTTTTTGTTTATTTTGATGCTTTTTAAACTTGTACACATCATATATATAAGTTGTACACTGTTTGTGTATAAGAAAAATTTATAAACACTTTGTATACACTTGTATAAAGTGTGCATACAAGCTTGTATACGCATTGTGTACAACTTGTACACAATGTATATACAAGAGAAGTTTATAAGCATTTTTTGTACACTTATACACAATGTGTGTATAAGGGGGAATCTATACATTTTATGTATGCATGTACACAATGTGCATACAGAGAGAATTTATAAGTTTTTTTTTTACAGTTTGCAGATAGTGTGTGTACAAGAAAATTTTATAAGCACATTCTGTACACTTGCACGCAGTGCATATACAAGGAGAATCTATACACTTTGTGTACACTTGTACATAATGTGTGTATAAGAAAAATTTTCGAGCACTTTTGTGTACTCGTCCACAATGTGTGTATAAGGGGATTAATGCACTTTGGGTACACTTGTATACTATGTACAAGGAGAATTTCTAAGTACTTTGTGTACACTTGTACACTGTGTGAGCAAGTTTTGCATGGGAGTTTAGTGAAGTGGATATTGCAGTTATGAATCTATGTTTTAGAGGGTGATTCATTGCAAGGAAGGGTTCAAATGTGATATTATTGATCTTGCCAAATTCAAAGCTTTAATATAAATTATTTCTAATTTTATTTAATTTTTAAGTATTATAAAAATATTATAATGAACTCATTAATTAAGAAATATGATATATATAACAATTTAATTATTAAAATTTAAATATTTTGTGAGGTCATGTGTTAAGATATGGAATATAAAAGATCGAATTATGGCTATTAATAAATTGTTCTAATAAAATCATGCTAACTAATTAGATTCATTTGCGGGTTATATAATATGATGAATATCAAATAATATTGATACGTCATGAAAAAATTATCTTGATCGGGCACGAATCTCGAGGCAAAAATCAAGTTGGAAACTTCAAAAATTAAATCCGGGAGCACCTGAACTCTGATTTCAGCAAACTAACAGTCAAACTGAGCGTCTCGGAAATACGAACCCAACAACACCAAGTTTGACTCAATCCAAGCCCATATGAATCCAAATCAAGGACCCAAAGCGCTATTGAAAGGTTCAAACCATAATTTCAGTTACCAAACGATTTTCAAACATGACGAGCTTATAGTCGAATCGAGCGGCTCGACGAGACGAATCCAACGAGCCTAAGATCGCCAAATTCCGATATCATTAAGGCCTTCAAATATCTAACGAACGGACTATGATCAAGGGATTCAATATCGGTCGTCCATTCGAACCACTCCTGATTCGCCCATGATCTCTCACCTATTTACGAGCTATGCCACTCTAGAAAATCTATAAATAGCCTCCTCATTTCTCATAAAAGGGGACTGAAGCAAGAGAGAGAAGAAGCAAGAGAGAGAAGAAGAGAAGGAGGAGAATCAACTCCTCCTCGACCACCGCCGGAGTTCTTCTCGCCGCCTGAATACGCCGCCTGAATTCTGTCGTATATTCAGGAGACGCCAGAATTATGCATAACTTTGTAACTGAATTTCAATTCAGGAGAAACTCTTTGTAATATGATCGTCCTAACTTGTGGGACGAATCAGCCTCTGTACTTCAAACAAACACTAGTGGAATTACTTCAAATGGGCCTGGCCCTGTGGTTTTTTCCTTCTTTCGGGTTTTTTATATTCAATGGTTTTGCCCTTGTAAACACATTGAGTACAAGCATATACATATACTATGCATAAAGTTATAATTTTTTCTTGTATACACGTTATATACAAATTTATATTAAAATTTTGTATGCATTTTATGTATAAGTGTAAACAAAAAATATATAAATTCTTTTTGTACATATACTGTGTACAACTTGTACACACTGTGTACAACTTGTTCACAGTGTGTACAAGATGAATTATATAAACTTAGAGATGATTCCACTTCTTCAAAATGAATTTTCTCAAATTCATTTTTAAACTATAGCAACAATTTGCCATAAGAAGGGACTTACCATTAAGTCATTAATTATCATGAAATTTCCATCATAAATAGATAAAGAGAAGGTCATGGCCTACAGTAGTCCTATCATAGCACCTTGCCATGCCACAAAAGACATTAATGGGAAAATACGGCCAATCTTTTTTTTAATATTTCTATAATAATTTAGAAATAAAATAATTTTAGAATGGCAGTTGAAGTGAATATGACATTGGTGAATTGGAATTTTCTTTATGTGATCAATTAGTTTATAGCTTTCAAGAATTTGAAAGTCAAACAATTTGATATTCAGTAAATCTAAACAAGCTGGAATATCACTTAGCTTGGAGAAAACACAGGAATTTTATATACCATTTAGAAAAGCTTTGCAAATGGAGAAAATTCAAACAGATAATGTAGCTTCATTCATGCCTTCAACAAATACAGAGATAAACTTAAAAAAAAAATTTCGATGCTAATATTGGTTGGACGATCAAAATAGTAGCTGTTTGTTGCGTCCTGGAGTATTCGCGGTGGTAGAGAAATATATAGTTTAACGTCTTAGCATTTTACGAAGATCCAGCACACAAGCAGATAAGAGAGGGGGTGAAACATTTATAAAAGACACTAGAGTTTTTACGTGGAAAACTCCTAAAAAGGGGGAAAAACTACGGGACCTGGCCCAGTTTGAATGAATCCACTAGTATTTATAGTCGATTACAAATGAGGCCCTTCTTAGGGAGAAGACCTTGGCATGATGTTACAAATGTACGTCTTATAGAGCGGATTACATGGTGGGAGTTACAATAATCAACATAGACATGTTTATTTGGTTGGAAGTGTGATGCCCCAAGATCAACTTGGAAAGAATGTCAATCAATTTCACAACAATTTACCAGAGTTATCTATAAACCTTCAGTAAGCAATCTATCAAACATCTATAAAATTTAAACATCAATATTCAAGTCGATTCATATCTCAAAACATCATATACAATACTCAGGAACTAAACTATCAATACAAGTAGAGAAATCTATCCTGTCCTGAGTACAAAAGAATCATCTATCGATCAAAAGACAAAAACCTGAAGATCTGGATCAATTCCTATCTCCTGCTCCCGAGCCCTGACCTGAAAATATCAACCACATATAATGAGCTTTACAAAGCCCAGCAGGTCACCTAATACCTATAACTGAAATCAAAGCACGGCGATGCTATCAATATGCATGTCAATCTATCAATCTGAATCAGTCAATGGTCAATGAGTCTATGCAGTGGAAATCAAATCAGTAGTCGATGCAATCCGAAAATCAATAGTCAATAAAACCAGTCAATGCAGCGGCAGACAAATCAATCATTTCAATTCAATCAATCAATATCCGTCAATCAAATCAATACGGTCAAATCAATGAAATCAGTCGAGAAAAGCAATACGGAACAATGAATCTATACGACAGTCAATACGGTACAGAAACAGTAGGCAGTAGTACGATGTCCATGTTCATGCTATCAATACAGTATCTATATCTATCAATGTCCATATCAATGCTCAGTAGTATCAATGTTCAGTAGTCAATCGATGAAATCAGTGAAATCGTACGATACAGTAAACCCGATCAAATCCGTAAAATCCGTAAATCAATACATTAAACATGCAATCAATACGATAATACTGAACAATGTATAATCAATGGTCATGTTGCTGTTGTAGAATTCATATTGCTGTTGTAGATATCAATACATTGGTTCTATGAAAAGAGTCGTCACTCTATTGCCCGTCGGCCGCCCGTCGGCATATAATCTCCTTATGACTCCCATCGTTATATCCATGATCCATGATCTATGATTTAAAGGAAAGCCCGTCGGCCCACCATCCTGTACAGATATCATCTCCAACCAATGTTCAACCAGGTTATACGTGTTTCAGTATCAATAAGCAATCAATAATCAATATTAGAGCAATCATATCAATAATCATAGGCATATCGATTCAATCTATCAATTTCAGTCAAATCAGGAATCATACAAAAAAAATCGGGCAGAGTAACAGTAGTCTATCGAATTTACACAAAAATCCTGCAAAAAG